CAGTGTGCACCTGAAGAACAAAGCCAGTACAAACTGCCACTGAGATGTCACATGGTAAGACAGACATGGAACATTCTGGGTGAAGACCGGAGGCTAGAAAGGAGATGCTTGACATTTAGGAATTACTGCCAAATCAGATAAACTAAGTCAACGTGAAAGAAATTTTTGAGTAAATGGAAAAAAAGTCTAAAAAGTAAAAGAGATGAGGGAAAAAGATAAAATATATTTTAACGCAAATAGGAAATCCTTTAACAGAAGTAGAGAAAAATCAGAAAAAAAATAATTTTATATCATCAAAGAACTCTGTCAGTTATCTCTCCACGGGGAGAGAAATCTATAACCTCTAAATTGAATGGCTTTCCAATGCTGTGGGAAAGACCAATATCTAGACAAATCTTCACAAAATAATGAGCATGGAATAGGGATATAGCTGTTTGTAGACTGTGTAGTATGCACATGGCCCTGGATTAGATACTCAGAACCTCATAACCTGTATATCTATATATACCTCAATGCATAATGTGTACTCAAGAGGTGGAGACAAAAGCATCACAAATTAAGGTCATTCTCAGCTTGAGGGGGAACTTGGGGACAACCTAGATTACATACAAATGTGTCTGAGAAGAGAGTACAAAATGGCAAACAGAGACTAAAAGGGAAGATCCCTTATTTTCTGGAGAGAAAAATATGGAACACTCTGAAAAGCCACTTTGCATATGTCTGGAATAGACTTCTGTAGGGGCCTTTGAGGGGGGAAAAAAGCATTCAAAGTTCTGAAGGAGAATAAGCACAGCATGAGAAATCGTGTGAGTCAATAAAATGAGGCCCAGAAATGCAAGAGCATAACAATTTTCAACACAAAACAACTAGCAGTTTCTACCTCTGTGTGTTCTTTACAGAACTGTCCATAGGTGTTCTCTCATTTTTCCTAATGCTTCTCATTGGAAATGAATGACATTTCTATTGAGCAATCAATAGGGCTTCAAGATAGAGTCACCTGTAGTCACAAGTGAAGACAGATGATAATAACAACAGCTCACATATGAGCTTGTGAACATATTTACAAGAAAAGCACAGTAAAAATTATTTTTAATAGTGCATATGGAATAGTATCTGAGGCAACTTCCAATGCTGCATGGAGAGAGTGAGGAATCCAGACATGCACACCCATCAGAGGGTGGAGGGCTATCTGTCATATCATAGTGACAAGGGCAGGGTGCAAAGCAGATGTGCAAAGACTACACACTTAGACCTCTAAATTAGGGAGAAATTAATTCTAAATTGTAATTACCTAACAAGTAATTTATAAGCATTTAAATGAAAATAATTAATTTGATTTCTCATGGTGCTGGGGATTGAGCTCAGGGCCCCTTTGCATGCTAGGTACGTGCTCTACACTGTGCTACAACCCTATAGAGACCCATCTTTATAGAGTTTCACAATGCAAACTAAAAGAGAAAGGTCTTAAATGTTCTAGGGAAATAAGAAAAAAAGTTTCTTCTATGTAAAACCTAACTTCTTGAATCTATTCGAAGAGAAAGTGAGGAATACACTGTTCAATGTACAGGGCCAGGAAAGGACTTTCTGGTCGAGACCTAGAGAGTTCGGTCATTAAGGCTATTAATCAATGAATAGGACCTCATGAAACTAAAATGTAACCGTACAGCAAAGGACCCCATCATTCAAATGAATAGGCAGTCCATACAGGGGGGAAACTTTACCAATTATATATCTGACAGAGGATTATTGTCTAAAATATCCAAAAAATTAAACACCAAAAAAAAACCCACACAACCAAATTTAAAGTGGGGGCATGGAACTAAAAAGAGAGTTTTCAAAAAGAAGGAGGAGGAGAAAGAGGAGGAGAAGGAGGAAGAGGAAGAAAAAGAAGAGGAAGAGGAAGAAGAAGAAGAAGAAGAAGAAGAAGAAGAAGAAGAAGAAGAAGAAGAAGAAGAAGTAGAAGAAGAAAGAAGAAGAAATACAAATGGCTGAGAAAGAACTTTAAGAATGTTCAACATTCTTAGCCATTAGGGACATAAGTTGAAACTACTTTGAAATTTCAACTTCCCTTAGTCAGAATGGCTACACACACACACACACACACACACACACACACACACACACACACACACAAACACACACACACAAGATAATAAATGCTGGTGTGTATGTGGGGAAAGGCAAATAGTTATTCATTGTTGATGGGAGTATTTCCACAATGCAGTCACTATGAAAATCACTGGGGTAATTTGTCAGAAAGCTAAAATTCTTTCTATGACTCAGCTACTCCTAGGCAAATTCCTATATCCTCTAAGAGAGACATGCATGTTCATTGCTGCTCATCAGAGATATGCATGCTCATTGTTCATATCCATCCTTAAGAGAGCTTATTCATGTTCCTTGCTTCTCTCTTCACAATATCTAGGAAACCACCCAGATGTCCAAGAACTGATGAGTGGATAATGAAATGTTTTCAACTTCCACAGTGGAATGTTATCCAGCTGTAAAGAAAATGAAACTATGAAAATGGCCTGTAAATGAACGGAACTGGAAATAATCCTGCTAAGGGAAGTAATCCAGATTCAGAAATACAAACACCATATGTTCTTTCTCAATGTGGATTCTAGCTTTGAATATATATATTCCCATAAGTCAAAAAATTAATAAAAGTCAAAAAATTATATATATAATGCCCCATAAAAGTAAAAAAAAAAATAGTAGGGGGCCATGGGAGGGGAAGAATTCAAGGGAAGGGAGATAGGACATGAAGAGGGAAAGAGGACTAATGAAACAGGAAGGGTTAAATGTGGTGGTGGGTGCATGGGAAAGATGGAGGAAAGAGTATAGGGAGGGATAACTAACACTAAAGACCTTTGGAAATGCCACAAGGAAACCTACTATTGTAGAAGTTTATGAAAATATATATACATATATATATATACAACATATACATATATGCAACAATCATTCTCACCTACAGAGCCATCTCCTTAGTCCCGTCTCTCTGTTTCTTTTTTTTTTTTTTTTTTTTTTTTGGTTTTCCGAGACAGGGTTTCTCTGTGTAGCTTTGCGCCTTTCCTGGAACTCGCTTTGGAGACCAGGCTGGCCTCGAACTCACAGAGATCCGCCTGGCTCTGCCTCCCGAGTGCTGGGATTAAAGGCGTGCACCACCACCGCCCGGCGCCTCTCTGTTTCTTTAACTGTGAATTCAACATGATTGCATGTTCCTTCCATCACACCGTCTATACCATGATGGACGGTGTCTCTTAAACTATAGGCAAAATAGTCCTGTCCTCCCTTGGGATGTCAAGAAGAGTACAATAAGAGTAACACAGCATGTCAGCAACATATCCATCATATAAACGCAAGATCAGGACATTTTTCAAATACAATAGAACTATCATTTTTTTGTCCTATACACCCACTTCTAGGAAATGTCTAATGAGTATTCTCTCACCATATTGACATGTTATTTCAGAAGAAAGGTATACTGTGATAAACACAGTTACCTGATATTGTGTGGTATGGATCTTTCACTATGGTTTAATGGCATTATCTGCGTTCCATCGCTATTAAAACTTTTTCATAGTAAATAGACATGAAAGAAGTAAGGTGGCTGGATCATTTTAGAACTGAATATAACTAAAAATATAAAACAACATCAGATTATTATAAGGCCACTCTGCAAAACGTTCATCCTAGAATGTGGCAATAGTAGGCTAACACAAACCACACCAGAGGATCAGCCTTGGCCTTACTGAGAGAGGCACACAAACACTACTGCAGCTCCTCTTGTGAGAGACAAAGGACATAGAGACATGGTATAAAATACGCTTGCCCACAGATGACATTGAGTCTCCAGATCTTACTGCTAATTCACAGAGAACAGAAGTGAAAGACTAGGAAACTGATCCTAAAAGAATCAGTCCAGTAGAGAGTGGGAGATACACTATCAGAAAAATGACCTAGCTTCTCATACAACCCAAAGTAAGAGAAGATGACAGGTATTTTATAGTACAAGACAGAAAAGAGCCAAAAGCAGAATGTGACCATGTTTGGGTCCACAGTGAGGAATAAGGAGGTCCCTGCATCTGTAGTTACTGAGGACATTCCCACTCAGAGACCAACAGGATTGCAAGTCTTAGAGCCACCTGTAATCACAGGGAACATTGGACAAAAGCAACAACTTGACACCTGAGCTGGTAAAAAGTGCTTTATAGGAAAATCAGAAATAAATATTTTAATATTTTTTTATTCTCATTTTGCTAGTCACATAAATGTCTGGGATAACTGTCCAGTGCTATCCCCAAAGGCTGAGCATCCCACAGACTATAGGTCAGTGAGCAGACAGCTGTGTGTCAGTGAGACCATATGACAAGGGCAGACAGAACCCAAGCTCCTGGTTTCCTGTCTCCTTTCAGTTGACTCTGGCCAGGGTTTAGAATGGGACATTTGTAGCAAATTCTTGATATGCATGGACATTTTCATCATCACTTTTGTCTGAAAGTTTGTGACGTTTCCACAATATTTTTTAAATGGGTGTCATTTAAACCATAATAACATGAAAGTCTGGAGAAAATAACTCCTACCTCCTATACATGTACTGTACTATAAGATAATGGGGTACAAACTATAAATGAAACCAACAAATGTGCAATTTTATAAGTTTTAAAAAGTCTTGGGAGTAAACACATTTATAAAAAATTGTGTGAGTTTCCTATGGAGCATTCACATACCCTGGTTAGATAAGAGGAAATTTGCATTTCCAGGATGAGATCAACATCTAGGCCCAGGCAAACAAAGACTGGAATGACCTCAGGATTTGAGATGCCTCAGGATAAAAGATGTGAAGCTTGGCTCTAGATTGCTGCCCCTCCTCAGCTATCTTTGAGGTCACGTCATCCTGGCTGTCTATTAATACAGATGCACTCTGTACTCTGGGTTTGTCTTTGAGCTCAGTTTTCCAGCTCTGGGCTTGTCTTCTAATCAGCTCAGCAACCATGAAGATCTTCTGCTTTCTGTGGCTGATGCTCTGCCTACAAATCTTCCAGGTCAATCCAGGTAAGTACCAAGACCTGCTAAACCCCTGATCAGGGCTGGGAACATGGGGTCTACAAACAGGTGATAAATGTGTTCTGGATCTGAGGAACAATCAAGAGAAGAGCATCCCTGGGGTCAACAGCTGACAGCCAACAGTCATCAGGGTCTCAATCTGTACCCTAGGTATCAGGACAATAAGCCTGGCCAGAATGAAGAACTAGTAAGAGAAATTTGTCAAGACCTTTAATCCCTTTTTGTCATGGTCATCTAGGACATATTCTTTGTAGAAAGTATTCCTCTGTACTTGCAGGAAGGCACAGCTCCCTGAGAGGCCAGATTCCTATCTGGAGCCAGGTGCCCGCTCCTTTCCTGCCTTTCATGGATCCATTTAACACACGATTACAATACTCTGGGCTAATGGAGAACATGAACATGAGGTTCTAGAGTAGGTAAATTTGTGACAGATGCAGCATGTGGGTCTTGAAAAGCAGTGTGTATGAAGTGTAGACATAAAATAAAACACAAAGGTTCCTGTTTTAATTCATTCCTCACAATGCCTCTGTGAATAAAAGGGAGTCACAACCCATTTCTTGGAGAGTTTACCCCCATCACATGACTAGTGTTCAGTAGGTCAAGACCCCAACCCAAGGCTTCAGTTGTGATGTGGCCTTGTGGAGACCTCAAGGGTTTAGAGTGTAACATGACACTGAAGGGAAGGTGCAGGAAGGGTCATACATCCCAAGAACAAGTTCAAGAATGGCCTGAGGTGGAATCAAAAGGCCATACATCTAGGGCTAGAGAACCCTAAAGGTTTCTGAATAGCACAGGAACAGAATGGAAGATGGCTTTTTCAGAAATTGATTTGTTTGGGAGAAAATTACAGGCCAATAACAAATGAGCAAGAATGCAAAAGATAATTCACTAGGCATTCCCATTAGCAAAGCTTTGTTGTAACTGAAGTTTTCCTATGTCCCAGCTCCTGCAGCTGCTCAGACTCAAGTAAACACACAGAGACTTATAGTACATATAAACTGTATGACTGTAGCAGGCTTCTTGTTATCTAGTTCTTATATCTTAAATTAACCCATTTCCATTAATCTATAAGTTATCATATGGCTTGTGGCTTACCAGTACTTTTACATCTTGCTTCCTCTGTGTCTGTCTGGCGACTCCTGACTCGGCCTTCCTGTTCCCAAAATTCTCTTTTCTGCTTGTCCCGCCTATACTTCCTACCTGGCTACTGGCCAATCAGCATTTTATTTATTAATCAATCAGAGCAACACATTCATAGCATACAGAGCAATATCCACAGCACTTTGTCCCTCTGATGTACCTGTCCCCATGTCATTAACTGTACTCCACAGGAAATCAGCTAAATTAACCCAGCCCTCTACATAGGCATTTATAGCTCCAAGACATCTTTCTTCCTTTCCCTAAAGGCTGAACACACACATCATTTAGGTTTGGTCCATTCCCTGCCTTCAAAATGAGGCAAAGATGAGGATTCCAGGACAGGATTCTATGCTCCAATTCCCACCTTCTCTGTCTATACTATATGTCTCATCAAGGAATTTCCCAATGACCAGATGGCCTAACTTCTTCTATCTCTCTGATCTAGCATGGACCAGCAGGCCATTCTTCAGTGACAGGGGGAGAACAGGAGATTAAAAAAAATAAAGAAGATAGGAAACTTGGGGTCAGGAGGTCTTACATGAGCTGTTGGCTCATGCCAAGCAATATAGAATCTTAGATGTGATTTGCAGGGGGGAAATGGGACAGTCAGAAGAAAGCTAGCATACAATGAAACAAAGTTATCAGGAAGCTAATCAATCAGTGCTGCACAAAGGGAACACATAATATCTCCAATGTGTCACAGACTGAGCACACAGTAGCCTTAGGACTCACAAAACCTTTGATTTCTGCTGGGTGGTAGTGGCACACGCCTTTAATCCCAGAACTCGGGAGGCAGAGCCAGGCAGATCTCTGTGAGTTTGAGGCCAGCCTGGACTACAGAGTGAGATTCAGGACAGGTACCAAAACTACATATAGAAACCCTGTCTCGAAAAACAAAGCAAACAAACAAACAAAAAAAAACAACTTTGATTTCTTTGAAACCCTAGCCCCATCCCCAGACCAAACCATGCCAGTTCTGCCCCTGGAAAAAGACACAGAACTAGAGTTCCCTTTTATTGGGACCACCACAGAAGCTTTGGATCAGCCTGGCTCCCAACACTGATCTCTTAAATATCCCCTGGGAATATCCCACAGTGGCATTCAGAGTCCATCTAGAGACTGTAAGCCCGTTGCCTAAGACAACAGCACTGTAGCCTTCACATCAGTCTGGACTGAGCAGCTGGTTAGCAAGACAAGGGGAGGCACAACTGTTGTCCATTGTAACCCCTTAACAAGAATGTCTTACTTTATTTCCAGCTGACTAATAGCAATGGCCCTTCTTCTACACATACATTTGAGTCTCCTGATTGGGAGTGGAGAAAAAAATAGACTCAGGTGAACAACAGCACTTTGTGAGACTGAATGCACTAAAAATATTTACCCCAAGTTTCATAACAGTAAGACAGACTATTCCCCTGTACTAAAAATTATTGGATTAAAATCTATATAAAGACATCTGATGCTCAGTGACTCATAACAAACTTTCCAAGAAGCCAGTGCATCTCCCAGTGATTTTTTTTCCAGAAAACTATATTTTAAACTCAGCAAAATATGGCTTTACTTTCATGGGATCATTGAAAAGTGTTCAGTCTCTCTGGCACTCAGAGCCTCTCTAAAAATAAGAAAAAGAAAAGGATTCTTGGAAAGCAAAAGACAGAAAAGAAATGGACTAGTTGTCCACCAAGGTAAAATGACCAGCTTTAGGATGTGAGAAATGACTGAGATCAATCAAACCTCTTCCTTGGTAAATCTGAGAAGCTGCCAACCCAGACTGGCTGGATGGTTAACCAGCACCACTGCCTAAGGACATCTTGAACTCAGATTATAACTGAATCACTTCACACAAAGCCCATAGCTATTTCTTTCTTGTGATGAACAGAATTCAGTTAAAGAAAAGCCAGAAATACATGCTTATGGAGTAACAGGATCCGGTGGTCAGCCAAGGGGTATGGTTAGATGAAATGAGATTCAAAATGGGTCTATGAGAATCCATCCTGGTCCAGGTTCTTTCTTTGTGGGCTTTCTGCTCTGTGAAGAGAATGACACCACATTTGTCATCTGATAGATCAGAGAGATGTTGAATTAACTGCATTCTGAATCTCTTCTTGACTCTAAAACAGTCCTGTTATATTTAACACTCTCTGCTTAGCAAGTGCCTTAGTTTCTTTTTCTGGTGTTGTGGTATAATATTCCAACAAAAACAACATAGGGGAGAAAGTGTGTATTTTACAGCTCAGTATATTAGTACACTGTGGCATGGAAATCAGAGCTATAGGAGCTTAGAGTAGCTGGTCACATTGCATCCATGGAATGGATTATTTTGTCTACTTGACATAATCTAGAATAGCTCGGGAAGAGATTGGCAGTGAGGGATTGACTAGATTAGGGTTTCCTGTGGACATATCTGTAGGTGATTGTCTTTCTTGAGTTAACTGTCCATTGATAATGTCACCATTTAGGTTTAGGGCCTCAATTGTAAAAGAGTACAGAAGGAAAACTAAGCACTGTCATGCATGTCTCTCTCTCTCTCTCTCTCTCTCTCTCTCTCTCTCTCTCTCTCTCTCTCTCAATCTCTCTCTCTCTCTCTCTCTCTCTCTCTCTCTCTCTCTCTCTCTCTCTCTGTCTGCTTTTGATTGTGGGTGTAACTACTAACTGCTTCAAGTTCCTTGTAGTGATGGACTATAACTTGTAATTGTGAACTAAGCACTTTCATCCATAAGTTGTTTTTGTCAGAATATTTTGTCACAACAATTGGAAAGGAAACTACAATAATCCACAGTTCAAAATCAGAGAGCAATGAATGAGTACATACTTGCTCAGTTTCTCCATTTTATACATTCAATGATGCCTGCCTGGCGAATAGTCTCATTCACAGTTACATTGGATCTTTCCACATCAATTAACACCATAAAGATAATCTCCCACAGGCATACCAGAGGCCCATCTCCCAAATGAATCTAGATTCTGTCAGGTTGACAATTTAAAATAACCACAAAACTGATCAAAAATAAAGAAGAGAAACATATGTATATATATATATATATATATATATATATATATATATATATGAATAATTAGATTGGTGATCTCATCAGAAAAACAAACAAGAAAAAGCAGAGTGGACTTCTATCAAAGTGCTTTCAAAATTTTATTTCTATTGCTCTTCCTAGAAACAATCAGTTGCAACTAGTTTACACTAAGCATCCTCTTAGAATCATGCCAGCATAAACAGTACCACAAAAGGACAAAAAATCTGGTTGTTCACCTCTAGAGAGTCTAACTGAGTATGATCATACATAAGGCCAATATTAGTGAGGTCATTGCCCTTACAGCAATCATAAGCAACAGAAGCCAGAGCCTATATAATGTAGAGAAAGGATATGAGACCAAACTCAAAAAAAAAAATGGATTTAGTGTGAGCAACTGAGTGGCTTAGGCTGTGATACTTCTCTGAGAGAGTGCTGGAAGGGTAAAGGCAGAATGTCACTCCATTTTCTCCCTCCTCCATAGCACCACTGGCCCATTGAATAGTTTGTGGTGATGAGAATTTTCTACAGCCAGAGATGGTGATTCTTCCTTTAATCTCAGCATCTAAGAGGGCAGAGAAAGAGCATTTCTGTGATTCAAAGCCCGCCTGAGCTACATAATGAATTCCAGGCCAGTAAGTCTTATAGAGTGACGTCCTGTCTCAAAATAAATAGAAAGGAATACTCTGCACATGCCCCTTCTAATCTAATCACTACTAGCTATGTGGTTATTGAGCCCTGGAACTTTCCCTGGTAAGCAAGTTAATGGTTATTGAGCCCTGGAACTCTCCCTGGTAAGTGAGTTTATGATTATAGAGCTCAGGAGCTCCCCCTGGTGAATTCAAGACAGGTCTGTTTTTATTAGAGATCCTGAATTTTAGTTGTGGACAGTTCTTTAAATTATAAAATTCTCTATGTACTTTGTGTAGAACTCTCATGCCTTCATCAAACATGCTAAAAATCACTGCAGATAGAGCCCACAGTCAGGTTTTTCTGCTTTTTTTTTAGTTGCTGGTAAAGACACACATGAATGTGCCAAGAGACAAGGAATCTGTGAAGCCAAAAGATGCAAATTTTTTTATATTCAAGTTGGCACCTGTTTTCAAAGAAAATCCAAGTGCTGTATAAAAAGATGGAGTAGAAACACCAAAACGAAGAAGGTGTAACCATTGCTTTAATAAAGGAAAACATTCTTTGAGGTATAGCTTCCTCAGACTAAAATGAGTCTTCTGTGAATTTGTATTGAGTTAAGAAAATGTGGGTCATTTCAGGGTACCTGCAGTGAAGGACAGGCCAGTCAAAAACACATGTCTGTTCAAGGGGAAATATGGCCATAAATTAAGCAAATATTACTCCACTTGATTTTTGAAGAAATGTACTATTGAAGACCATTTTACTCAGAGTAGGAAGTCATCTCAGGTGTCAAGAGGAGGGAGCAGCGACATTGAGCCACTTCTACCTAAAAAAAGTTTATGTCTTCAGGACTTGTTCAGATCCAACCATCAAGACCACCTTCCCATCCCCCTCATATCTGTAGGTTTTCATGCTGCCATGGGTACCTGCCACCCTTGGATTCAATTACCATCATTGCATTTCGGTTTCTGAATCCAGTGCCGCCATTCCCACACCAAGTTATGACCAACAAAAGACTACTGTGACACTCTTCAGAGATAAGACTAGCTTTACACTTTTAATCTATTAACTTATTTCTTACAAGACTCCGAAAAGACTATAGACTTATGAGGCTTCCAGAGTTGGTGAGAAGAGAGTAAGAGCAATTCTGTGAGCTAAAGAGAAGGGGGAAAACAAACACTGCTACTTTTCTAAATAGTGAGCATTTTGGGCTTATGGCATTATCCCAACAACTACACATAGAACCTGAATCCTTTTTACATCACTGAGTCACAGCATCAAATGTAAAAATCTCTGCTAGCTAAAACTATATTTATTAAATCTCTGACCTGATCCAAATTTGAGGACAAGGATTGTAACACCCTACTCCCTTAATATTTGCTCTCACACATTATATCCAAGTTAGCTTCTATAAATCAGGAAATGGAAACAGTGTTATAGAAGGCAATGCACATCCTCATGAGTAACACTGTGTGATTAATCTTGACATAACATTTAGAAGTCAAGGTCCACTATGTATACAGAAGCACATAGGAGTTTGGATGGTCCTAAGAAAACCTAGGACAAGCAAGGCCTTTATCTAATGGTGGTCATCATCATTTCTCTACAACCTGAAATTCCTTTACCTACTCTATTACTTAAAGGATGGCCTCTTATAGTTATTGATTTAAAAGACTATTTCTTCTCAACATCCTTACAAGAAAAAGACAAAGAAAAATTTGCCTTCATGGTACCTACTTATAATAATTCTCAGCCAGTCTAGAGATATCAATGGACGGTCTTCCCACAGGGAATGTTAAATAGCCCAACCCTGTGCCAATATTTGTATGACAGCCATTGGAATTAATACATAAACAATTTCCTAAATCTATAATTTATCATTACCTGGACAATATTTTATTAGCTGATTCAAATGCAGATAACTTAGAAAGAATATTTGAAGAAGTAAAGAAAATTTTGCCTTGTTAGGGATTACAAATTGCTCCTGAAAAGATACAAAGGGAAGATTCTAATTAATGATTTAGGATATAAAATAGGTCTACAAAAAAATTAGACCCCAAAAGGTGCAAATTAGGAGAGATCAATTACAGACTCTTAATGACTTTTAAAGATTATTTGGAGACATTTCCTATCTATGGACTGCTATTGGGGTAAAAAAATGATGAAATGAGTAATTTGTTCAAAACCTTAGATGATGACAAGGACTTAAATAGTCCAAGAGAATTATCAGCTGAAGATGAGAGTGAATTGGCTTTGGTGGAAAAGAAAATACAGGATGCATATGTGGATTGTGTGGATCCAAAGCTTGATTGCATTTTGGTTATTTTACCCTCTAAGCATTCTCCTACAGGAATTTTAATGCAGAGGGAAGATATTATATTAGAAACCAAATAAACAGAGTAAAAAATTAAAAACTTATGTGGAAAAGATCTCTGACTTTATTTTAAAAGGAAAATTGAGACTTCATCAATTAACAGGAATAAACCCAATAGAAATTGTATTACCTTTAACTGAGGAGAACATTGAAAAATTATGGGCAGAAAGTGAACCTTGGCAAAGAGCTTGCAGTAATTTTTGGGAGAGATTAACAACAAATACCTCAAAAGTGATAGAATTCAACTTATAAAGAGAACTAACTGGCTCCTGTCTCGCATTGTGCAGAAAACACCAATATCTGGAGCGCCTACATTTTATACAGACACAAACAAACAAGAAAAGGCAGGTTACAAATCAGAAAATTTAAGTAAAATGGTTCAAAGTCCTTATAATTCAGTTCAAAAAGTCAAAATTATATGCTATTCTGATGGTATTAATGGATTTTTCGGAACCTCTCAACATAGTCACTGACTCTCAGCATGCTGAAAGAGTGGTCTTATACATTGAGACTGCAGAATTATCCCTGATGAGTCAGAATTAACTTTGTTATTTATTCAGTTAAAAGATATAATCAGTAATAGGAATCAACCCTTATATATAACTTACACCCGATCCTATATGGATCTGCCAGGCCCTCCAGCACAAGGAAATGATGAGATTGATAAACTATTGATAGGAAATGTGCTGGAGGCCTTAGAATTTCATTTTTAAAAAATCATGTCAATAGTAAGAGTTTAAAAAAAGATTTTCCATAACCTGGCAACAAGCCAAGGAAATTATAAGAAAATGTCCTACTTGTTCTTTTTATAATCAAACTCCACTACTAGCAGGATGTAACCCAAAGGGTACTCAGAGGAATGAAATCTGGCAGATAGACATGTTTCATTTTGTAGAATTTGGAAAACTGAAATATGTACACACCATTGATACCTATTCAGAATTTCAATGGGCAATGACTCTGAGTTCTGAAAAGGCTAATTCTATAATCACACATTTACTAGAAGTTATGGCCATCATGGGTATAATTGCCCAAATTAAAACTGACATTGTTCCAGCATATGTCTCTGGTAAAATGAGACAGTTTTTTGCTTATTACAATATAAAGCATATCACATATATACCACACAATCCTGTTGGCCAAGCAGTCATAGAATGATCAAATTGAACTCTAAAGGATATGCTAAATAAACAGAAAGGGGTAACAAAATTCCCCAGAAATAGATTACATAATGCTCTATTAACTTTGAATTTTCTCAATGCTAATAAAAAGCAACAACAGCTGAGAAGGGACATTGGATAATAGAAAAAACTACAGAATTAAACCAGCCTGTATACTTTAAAGATGTGCTGACCTCAGAATGGAAACCAGGATATGTATTACATTGGGGATGAGGTTTTGCTTTTATTTCTATAGGAGAAGAAAAGCAATGGATATCATCAAAATTGAGAAAGGTTAGATATGAACAAGAGAGACCTCTTAATTAGAAGAGGTGGTAGTTCATCAATCAGCATGACCATTCAATTTAAACTAACTTATACCACTAACAAATGCTTTTCATATAATCAGATATAACTTGTCAAAAGGGAACCTCCCAAAACTAGGGTTGGAGAAGGGTTTTTGTTTTTGTCTTTCAGGAGAATGAAGTCTAAGGAATCTGAAGAACACTGGACAAATGAGACACCTGAAGAAAAAGGACAAATCATTCAGAAAAAAAAATGTCCCAGGAAAAAGAGTAAATTGTCCTAGTGGTATATCACATATAAAATTTTGTAAGTCTTCCTAAATATTTGTTGCTGCTGTTCTCTACAGACACATAATGCAAGTCATCATTATGAAGTCCCAGCTCAATTAAAAATTAAAGCTGGCTTTGGGGTTGGAGTATTGCTCTCTCCTTCTCTAAACCCAAGCATGTTGTTAAAAGAAAATGAAAAATCCCTGTATCATATCAGAAGAGCCATCTGATATGGGACAGAAGAAAACCAAAATTAAGGGGCTATTCTATTGCCACTAGTCTCATAATTCTTTTGTTCTATTTTGGCTATTTAAAACTTTTCTCAGGAGGCAGAGGCAGGCGGATCTCTGTGAGTTCGAGGCCAGCCTGGGCTACAGAGTGAGTTCCAGGAAAGGTGCAAAGCTACACAGAGAAACCCTGTCTCGAAAAACCAAAAAAAAAAAGTTAAAAAAAAAACTTTTCTTAAGGTATGAATTTTATATCAAAATTTATTAGATTAACATATATATTTTTTAAACTTTTGTCATGATATTAATGGTCATAGAGTACTAACTAATCCTAGAAAAAAGACTTCATCTAGCTGCCTGTATGTGTTTTTCAGGTTTGAGTTTCTATCAGTTTTCTGCAGGGAACCAAGACCACATCTAACAGTGACTTTGAAGTATCAAAAAAGATGATGGGGCCCCACAACAATGATTCCATCAGGATGATGATAATACCACCAAGCTGTCAAACACTACCCAAAGATTATCTTTGGACTACAAACTGGTCAGGACAATTTTGAGATGGCTAGCTGAGATGATCCAGCTTTACAAACTACTCAACAAGGACTTGAAAAAAGCCCTGCATTTTCACATTATGCAGAAACTGCACAGCAAATGATACAGATAACTCTCCCAGAACTTGACAATTAACTGAAAATTTTTCTACTCAGGATCCCCTAAAGATGCTGTTGCCCCCAGACATCAGGAAGTAATTTTAAGAACACCACCCCCACATTCTTAAGAGGTGGGAGTGGGGCATTTTTGGTCTTTCAATGGGTTTTGGATAATTGTCATTGTTAAGGATGGTTGGTTACAAGTTGTTATTGTTAATGGTCAGGAAAAAGGCTAAACAAATGAGATTAGATTTAGGGTTCTTGTTTGAAAAAGAAAAAAGAGGATATAGATAAGAGGTAGATTATTGAATCTACTCTGAAAAGGAAAATGGGGAAGATACAGATATGACAAGATAAAAAGGTAGATTATTGAATCTACTTTTAAAAGGCAACTACTAGTTTTAAATATTTTACATTGGATTGGATTTTTGTATATTGTATACAAATTATGCATATTGATACAAATTTGAAATTGATTTTGTTAGAAAACACTGTACATACATTTCTAATCTTGTTCAAGGTATTGTACCTATACAGTTCAATTAAC